ATGAGTTTCTACCGGCGATTGATAAGAATGCTATGAACACAACATGTGAGCAACGAAGAAGAAAAATTTTCAGAAAGTGTCAGATAAATTTCTAGACACATAATGAGGAAAGAAGGCATAGAAAAATTAACTCATAGGGCTATTGAACGCAAAAGAAACATAAAGTAACGCGTTTGCGTGAATGAATGGCTGAACAGCAACTAAAGAAAGGAAATTGTGGAGAGTCATAAAGATCAATATCCTGAAAGGACTTGGCACATAAAAGACGAGCCGAATTTGTTTTTATTCATACCGTGTCTGCTATTTTCCCTTTCGAACACATTCTCTTGGGAAAGCCATAAACCCAGCTCATCTCTACCTAATCATGTGTTAAATAGCAGGGTAGACTGGGCTATTTAGACTTGCAGTCTAAGAGAAAGGAAGAAATGATCCGTGAATCCAAACTTCAATAAATAATTTGAGGAGGGGAACTGCAAGAAATAATGAATAATTATGAACACGGTTTATAATAAGAACAAAACAATTTAAGAGAAATTATAAGGAAAGGAAAAAATCCTTTTTGATTCATAATGTAGAAATTTTGTATTTGTTTCGTGTAAAGTATGGAAGTGGCTTGCATAAATTGAATGCTCTTTCTTTGAGTAGCATGTGTTAGATTCATTGAGCAGCTGTGTGTGTGACTTCTGACAGGCTGGTTTGAAACCGCTATCAGGACCACGGTAAAGACTTGTTGTCTAGACAATATGTGGTCTTTTTTACATCTGACTGGCTGTCTAGGCAGGCCAGAACTTTAATTTAGTGGACGATTGCTGTCTATGTGTCGGCACTCTGCATTGGTGTTTGTTTTTATGTGCTGATGCTGCTTGTGAGTTGGGATGTGTGCAAAAAATGGTCGGCTATTCAATTCATTTTTGTTAAATTAGGGATAATGCCATAAGGAAGAAGGAGTACTTTGAATTACAGTTCGAAACCGTGAAGAAACCATCGCCCAATATTTCTCAACATGTTATGGTAATTCACAGATAATAAAGAAACTTATTTGTTGCTCACGCAAATGCGCGTTCTGCACACACACACACAAACATATATATATATATATATATATATATATATATATATATATATATATATATATATATATATATATATGTATTGGACTCAGATCATTATTCAAACATATATTATTAAATATAACAGACAACGAGTGTCTATTATGTTTGATCATGAGCCGTTCTAAATTTTGTATAGTTGATTTAATTTCGGGAGAAAATAAAGAAAAAAAAAACACTCTGAAGGTGGCTCATGTGAGTCGAAAGCTTAGATCAATGAACAGCATAATAAAAATATCCAAAATGTTGGAAAATTTTTATCTTTATTTTCACCAGAAATTAAACCAACTATACAAAGTTTAGAACGGCTCATGGTCTAATTTAATAGACATTCGTTGTCTGTTATATTTAACAATATATGTTAATATATATATATATATATATATATATATATATATATATATATATATATATATATATATATATAATTTCCTTGGTCTAATCAAAACTGCGTAAATTTGACTATGAAAACCTTACATAATTTTTCACGCGCTCAATGACTCTTACTTCATCTTGCAACTTGTTCGCGTATATATATATATATATATATATATATATATATATATATTATATTTTATATATATATGCTATATTTTATGAGCAAAAGTGTTCAATATCAGCGCTAGAGTCAACACCATGCCGACAGTCTGTTTCATGCGTGAACGCAGTCTTTAGGCCATATGGGAAAGGAATAGGTAGAGAGTATAAAGAGACAAGGAGATGATGAAAAAGAGAAACAACCTCGACATGATATAATGGTTTGTCTCGTTTGAACAATTACGACTGAGTAGTGAGTTCGATCCTCACTGGGTGCCTCATACGTTCGGCCCTGTGCCACATCTAAGCTACGCTTGGAAAATAACTACATTGCGTGACGGAAGGTTAACTATAATTTGGTGAATTTCCCGGAAGAGAGAAAAACGTGAGTTTTTTTTTATCTCTTCCCCAGATTTGCTGTTGCTTCCGTATACTGCAAGAGAGACAAGATCTTACACTTTGTCATCTCATCTACCGAGAATCAATGACATCACTGGCAATAAATAATATACAAGCAGATCAAAAATTATAATATTTTCATTTAATTATATGTATTATTTTCATTTCATTATTATATTTATGTTCTCCTTGTGTTTTTTAGTCCTTTTCTGTGATTGTGTAGCGCCAGGTTCACAATGTTCAAAGCAGGATCATCTATGACAAGACACACAGGCTTCATGAGCTCAAAGCCATTTTAACCATTGATCTTAGAAATCAGTTGTATATAGTTGACAGTTTAGATATTTTGGAACATCTTCAGTGCCGTGCATGACATCCATATGAAAGTATCGATTTGACGAGTTTATTTAAGAACATGACTCAAGTTTCAGGTTGATGTTTTGGTTTTGTAGCAATTGGCAGTGTTGTGTGAAACTACCTCTTGCACAAATTATTCTATGTTTAATTTCCTTAGCTCTTATATTATTTTTTTTATATAACTGATTCAAATGCTAAGGTATTTGAAGTGTTAAGTATTTACAAATTCCATCTTGAACTTTTATGACGAATTCAGAATAGGTGCCGTAGCAGATGTAAATTCAACAGATGTAACAGATTTGCATTTGTTTAAATATTAGTGCTCTTGAAAAGTAATTATATTTTACTGAAAAGGATATAAAAACAAATAAAAGTTAAATTTATGTAACTATCATTACATATTGATAAAAAAATTCATGGCAATCTTATTGCATATGATAAGAAAAATAATCACCTTCATTTTCAGTGATTGCAGCTGAAGAAGAAAGAACATTTTTGATTCCAGGTTTAAAGAAATTTGATTTATTTCCCGAAAAAGATTTGAATGACTGTGAACTTTTGTGAATGTCCTACCATTATTTAGACTATATTTATTTCTATTTCAACTATTGTCCTCATCTTTGTTGTTGTTATCACACCGTTTCGTTCGTTGTCATCTCCGGCATTCATCAGGTGTATATTGATCTGGGTAACCTACAGGGAATTAGGGATATTGTCGTTCCCGTTTCACTGCCCATCTGTAGTTTTATCGTCTATGTCTTATTTGTAATACTGCTCAGTCATTGCTTGCACGCTTCCAATGACTCCAAGTAAACACAGCCCGACTCATGGATTGAAATCACAATTATTGTATCACCAACGAACCAACACTTTAATCCACTAGGCTATTGTTACGTAGGACAGTTATCTGTAGTGAACTTGGAGCCTTAAACCTAACCTACCTACTACTTTTTTGCCTGTCACGTTTTGACTGCTGCTGCTGTTAAAAAATTGCTGTCCTTTTTCTGCTTTTATTTATTAGCAGCTTTCATATCGTACTTATTTCTATGCTAAGGCTAATAAGGAGCTCCTCATAGCCTAGCATATGCACTGATTCTTTCAAATGTCTAACTCTCCAGTGTTCTTCTTTGTCCAGTATTTTCACTTCATTCTGTCACTTATGGAATGTTCTAGTAATCGAAACAAATGAAAATCTGTAGGTGCTAAATACATTGAGTGGAGAACGTATAAAAGAACCGTCCATCCAAACCGTTTTAATTTGTCTTGGGTTTGTTCTGCAGATTCTGCCCTTGCGTTGTCATACTTGACAATAACACTTTTTTCTGTTTACCAAAGCAGGACACTTTCGGCGTAATGCTTCGTTAACGCAATCAAGTTTCTCGCAATAAACATTACAGAGAAGGTTGTCTCGTGTTCCAGTAGCTCGTAATAGACGACGCCTTTCATATCCCACAAGATAATAAGTAAGGACTTTTGTGGATGGAATCCGATTTTGCTGTTGGTACTGATTTATCATTTGGCTATAACAACTGTCATTTTTTTTTTTGTTAACATGCAAAACCCATTTTTCATTACCTGTAACAATGTAAAGCAAGAATTAAAGATTATCGTTCCTGGTTAAAAATCTGTGCAGATGGTGGAACGTTGAGATTGGTTCTCAAGCGAAAGTAAATGAGGATCCCAACTTCTTCTTTTCTCAATTCACTTGATATGTTGATGGACAGTTGAAGATGGCGCATTGTTTTGGGAGCAAAATCTCAGATGCTTTGATGTGGATTCTATTCAGTAATCACTTTCATGTGTCCTTCATTCAGAGTGGGTCTTCTTCTTTTCGGATATGTCACAATTACCATTTTAAAACCCTTTAAAACAAATCTGACTTGCACAAGTCTTCACTGAATCCGTATACATGGAACAAGTGATTTGAATGTCGTTATAACAGTAATACCATTTCGGAATTAATGCAGCAAGCAATGGCGAACATGTTGCTTTTTCATTTATAATTCCGTATAGGGTTAAACTCTGAGATGCTCGTGAGACAAAACACTGATAGATATGATCAAAAACTAATTTTCTAAGCAGTTTATCTAGCGTTCACCTTGGGTTTTACCTTGGTTGCTTGAGTCATAATCTGGATTCTACCTTGGTTGCTTGAGTCATAATCTGGATTCTACCTTGGTTGCTTGAGTCATAATCTGGGTTCTACCTTGGTTGCTTGAGTCATAATCTGGATTCTACCTTGGTTGCTTGAGTCATAATCTGGATTCTACCTTGTTTGCTTGAGTCATAATCTGGATTCTACCTTGGTTGGTTGACTCAAAATCTGGATTCTACCATAATATATTGACTCATAATCTGGCTTCTACCATAACTAGATGAAAGAAATATGATATATTGCTAATATAAATTTATCTTGAATTTTCCGTTAGTTAATTTTACTGTGAAAACATTGATTTGCATGATAAAATCTTACACATTACAAGTTCTGCACTAGCTTATTGTAAGCAAATTATAAAGAAACAATGTTTAATAGAAAAACAACATATTTACAAATAGATTTTACATGTTTCACTTTCAAGTTGTTTTTGGAAAACCAGCATGAATCATGAAGACGACACTAGGTCCCTGTGCGGATTAAGTGACACCCCTCATTTCAACGTTTGCAGACATCAAGGAATCCTTGGTATCGCTGTTTTATCATCCATTCGATGATGCCTTGGTCCAGGGGAGTGAAAACTTGAAAATTCGGAGTTTGATCACACTTCTGGCGGAGCGGCCATGTTTATGCTGAAACAGTAGCAAGAAAACTGCCGCAATTAAGCTGACCATTACTGTGCCAAATATAAGCACGCATGAGAAGAAGGCAGTGGGACAAACCGAAAGATATGTCATAGTGAAAGTGTGGATAATTTTTGATTTACCCTCGTATATATATTTAAAATAACGGGAGTGATGTAAGAAAAAAGTAAAAGAAGCAGACGACAGAAGTTCGTTAATCTTAAAACCGATAGTAGATTATTACTAATTTTCTTCTGGATTTATTTTTTAATGGCTATTAATCTTGACAGATATTTCTTTGACATCGAATTTATTTTTGACATTTCTTTCTCAAATTCCTCTTCATGATTAAAGCGTGTTTATTATTTGTGCTTCACTCAATCTTCCGATGGTGACTTTTCCATTTTTGCTTATTTCCTTTCTTTCTTTCTTTCTTTCTTTCTTTCTTTCTTTCTTTCTTTAGAAGCACCTTCTCAGTATTTTATATTTTTTTGAGTTACAACGTTTTTATACGCAAGGCCTTTCGCATACATGTAAACAAAACACAAAGACCCAAGATTAGACCACCCAGTAAAGAACCAAGTTACACCAACAAATATGCCTGAAAAATTAGTTCATTTTTATTCTAGAGGTCGAATCTTCCGGCTTCGATAAAAGTATTTTAATGCTAATATTTTAGTACTAGGTATTTTTTTTATTGCTAATATCTTTTGAGAGAATTGCTTTTCCTAAATTCAGAAACGATATAACCAACTAGTGGTGACTGCTACTGACTTGTGTGCATTCTTTTTCAGATTTTCCAAATGTTATATATAATTAAACGTTATCTTCTAACAATGAGATAAAGAATAAAGAAGCATTATTACAGCTAAAAGTTTTATGCATATTTATTCTATAACTAGTAGCTTAAAAGCCGCCCTATCGGGCAATATTTAAGCTAACTCCTTCGGAGGGCTCTTAATTGGGTCTTCAAGTTTGAGAATCCCTAAGTTTTTGCATATTCTCGACATTAGAAGCTCTCCTGTCTTCTGTTTGATCCGGGTTTTCATTTGCACAGAACATTCTTTCCCTCGTTGCAGTCTTGGCTCTTTTGATCGAAATCTGGTCTATTGTTGGAGGAGATTTCTTTTTATGAAGCATACCGCTGCCGTATGCGATAGACAATAATAAACTAACGAAAAACTTACAATTGATCACTGCATTTAAATATTGCATTAATATTTAAACTTACCTTTTAAAAGTTCAACAATAATTCTTCTGTCACTATTTTAATTTAAAGACAATTTGATGTACGTAAGCAATTACTTTGCGCACAAACAATTTTATGGGCGACTTTCGCTGGATTTCACAATTAATTTCAATTATTCCCAAATTTATTTCCACGATATATATTGTGTTTTCGTACAAAAAAATCCTCGCAAAAAATCACATAAAAAATCGCCGAAAACAATTTTTGTAATGAAAACTTGGGAATCAAAAATTTCTGTAACATGAGCTATTGAAAGTTAAAGAGTTGTCTCCCTTTAATTGAAAAAGTATGACACACTGACATTCGCATGTATATACTATTAACTTGGGAATTCAAAATTTCGGAATGTTTTTAATTTGCTCATGGCGTCGGTCTGATTCTAACATGGTATGATATGTTGAGCTACGGCCTCTAGGAGTAAAGTTGAAAAAGTGTGACACACTGATATTTGCATTTATTTATATAGAAGATGATGGAATATTTAAAATTGAACGAGTTGTGTCACTTTTGAAATTGAAAAAAGTGACGCACACGGCGATTTTAGCATTCATTATATAGAATTTTAAAAGTTAGAAAGTTGTGTCCCTTTAATTGAAAAAGTGTGACACACACAGACATTTACGCATGACAGAGTGAATTTTGCAAATATTACTTATAGTTGATTCAATATTTATATCCTTGAGCATTTTAGAAAAAATAACTACTATTCATATATAAAGCATTCAAGTTAGTGTAAAGAGAAGCAGAGTGCTACGTACATTTTCTCTAAATTTAACAGGAATCCACAGACACTGGTTTTGATAGAAATATTACATAAGAATCTCTCCAAGATTTGTCGAAGCAACTTAAAATGAAAACATAACCGGCACCAGTATCTGGAGACACGGCGTAAACTGAAATAACACCACCGGTATATCTTAATTGTTTAAAATTCGCTTTATTTTTTGCGGAAAGGGGTGTTCTGTTAGATATTTTGACGGTCGTCTTCGAGTATAGAATCCAGAGGTTGGCAGTGAATATTTCGAAGACAGTAGGAAAGCGTAGTGCATGTTCGCAGTGAATATCGCAGCAAAGAAGCAGAGCGTAATTCTTCCGTCTGTCATGTTCGCCTGACAAGTTGGCTCTGGTCATTCCGGTAGGAAACAAAGATGGCCGCCTTTATACACGACGGATACAATGTTCTGCGGCTTCTGATTGGTCAACCTTCTATTGGTAGACTATAAAGGGAATTGTCATTTTGATTCGCTCACTAGTCATGTATATATATATACACAAAAAACTGTAACATGTTCAATATTGGAGAAAGAAAGTTTGTTGAGAGAGACTGTGTGAAGTAGGCATAGGAATCAACACTGCATGATGATTGTCAGTTTCACGCTTCACACGAACATTAAAATATGAAGTTTACATCTCACTCTCCCACTCTCTGTCTCTCTGTCTCTCTTTCTCTGTCTCTCTTTCTCTTTCTCTCTCTTTCTCTCTCTCTCTCTCTCTCTCTCTCTCTCTCTATATATATATATATATATATATATATATATATATATATATATATATATGAAGCATATTTAGGCAACAAGTATTCAAACCTTAAAAGTTTGATTAAAAAGAACCGATATAGGTTTTTACTGTATTTTTCAATTTTTGACATCATCTTCGAAAAATAAAAAATAGCGGATCTTTTGAAATCAAACGTGTTAATATTATATATATATATATATATATATATATATATATATATATATGAACTAATGCAAGTAAAAGGTTTGTTGCTTAGCTGATTGATGTTTCCTTCACCATCCTGACTCCAGAGCTTCATACGCGAATCTTCCGGGTTCCGGGAATCCCTCCATCCACTCATCAGTGCGTATATGTGTGTGTATGTGTGTGTGTTTGAATAGATGAATTCTTCGCATTTCCAAGGGCATTAACGCGAATTGAACGAAACAAAATCAATCAGGATTTCAACTCTTCTTGGCGATTCTACTTCACACGCCGCTAACCGTTACACTATCCACACACGCGCACGCATACGCGCGCGCGCACACACACACATGCATATATATATATATATATATATATATATATATATATATATATATAGAGAGAGAGAGAGAGAGAGAGAGAGAGAGAGAGAGAGAGATCACCGCCACTTTTACTTCAACAGTTTCTTTTCTCGCACTTACGGCCTGTGAAACTCCCGTCCGTTTTCTTGCTTCCCTGAAAACTACAATCTTCAAAATTTTAAATGCAATTTAATCTCGATTTTCTGTTGTCTTGAACCCCGCTCATATTTCATCCTTTTCTCAATTTCAGTCCCACTCTTCTCTTTCACTTTCACTCTCTGTAACCACTGCGTATTAGTGGCATTCCCGCCTGGCTTGGAGTGAAATGATTCAAAAAACAACAACAAATATATAGATTCGTAGATGCACTCCCTGTACTGTAGCCGTTGCAGCCAGTAGGTGCAAGATAACCTAACGGAACCCCTCCCTCTTCGTGCTGGTGCTGAAATCATTGTCTTATGTCTCCTAGACTGGTTGCCATTTCTTGAATCTAGTTTTATCCCCTATTTAACCCATAGTCGAAAGAAGAGGGAGTCATGCCTTTTCCCAGGGCTTTAGTCCGCAGTGAACAAAACAGTTACATATATGTCTGTATACGTCTCTGTGTGTGCATTTGTGTGTGTGTTTGAGGGGGGGTGCACGTGCAAAGAAACACACACACAATCATATAATACTGTTATTGGGTGAATACACATATATTCCTGACGCACGTGTATGCATGCGCATATATACACATAGCAACATTGTATATATTTTAAATCACAGATTCGCATTTTCCATGAGTATATATATATATATATATATATATATATATATATATATATATATGTGTGTGTGTGTGTGTGTGTGTGTTGTGTTTGTAAGCGGTCACTTTTTACACACACACACATACATACATACACATATTTATTGTTTTTAGATAATTACGCCAACTTCTGACCGTGCTATACTTGAGCCAGGATTTCCTGATTGCTCAACTTGTCAGAACATCTGCCACCTACCCTGGACCACACCGTCCGCCTAGCTTCAACTGTTTTCCTCGTGTCACTCGTTCTGTTTTGCTTTTACCCCGACCCTCACTTTTGTTTCTGTACTGTTGTTATTGCGTCTCTGTCTAGTTGTCAGGAACAATGTTATAAAACAATCTGCCCACTTCATTTTTGTCGGATTTGTTTATTCTCTTTCTTTTCCTCTTCTTTGACTCCTCCTTTCTCCCCTGATGGTTTTCAGGCGTTCCTATTTATTGTTTTGCTTTTTCCTTTTCAAACGCTCCTGCTGCTATTACCTCCCCCCCTCCCGTCTTGCTCGCTCTTGATATCCTTAGCAATCTGTCATTTCAGTCACGCCTCTTTTATTGTTTATCCCCTTCTTTTTTTTTCTTTTAACGTCTGCTTCCTTCATTTCTCTTCTTTTCGTCTTAATTCTTGATCTTCTCTTACTAGTCGATTTTTCAACCCAATCTCCCGTTTGTTATTATTTCCTTTCTTTACACATTTAACTTCCTGCATTTTCCCGTTTTTTTCTTTTTTGTCTTTCGATGTAAAAACTTTGATTTTTATTTTCTACTTCGTCTCTCTCTCTCCCTTTCTCTTTTATAATCAGTTCCTTATGATTCCATCTTTTTCTGCTTACAGACCACATATAAAGAGATGTCGATATCGTCCATTATCAAGAACTTTCATTCAGTTTTCGTGGATATCTCGCCTTATTCGACTGGTAAGCATTTGTAAGGAGAGCTGGGATGTAATGTCTTTAGGGACTCATTTGTTGTAATTGAAATCAAATCTCTATAAGAGGAGATTAGTATAATAACAATGTTGTTGTCAACTTAGCCATAAACGCCGTAATCCTGTGACTCGGATTTTTTTTCCCATCGTATCCATGGACTTCGCGTTTAGGCATACACTTAGCAATACTACCACTAAAACTATACGTGTGGTTGAACGGAGGACACTTGAAAACAAACTGCATCTCTATTAATATTAGACGAGAAAAAGTGTATTCGAACAAACTAGTCTCGTCTATAATTTGGGGAAGGGGAAGCATTTTGCAGCAATTACTCTACTAGATAGGAACTAACGAGGTTCAGTCTGTTGTTAATGGCGGCAAAAGATGGCTTGTTAATTTTAACGCCCCAAAACTAAACTGCTCTCCATTAATCATCTGAAAGACCCCCTCTCTGCCTTCCATCATCATGGCTAATGCTAACCTCCAGGAAAGCGGCACTTTGCGCCTTCTCGGGCTAACATTTTCAGCTGACATCAAGTGGAAAGACTATATTGAATCCATTGCTAGGTCAGCTGTTAAGAAAGTTGGTTCACGTGCGAGACAATTTATGTCTACAGAAACTATCTTACATATCTATAAGTCTACCATTCGACCATGCATAGAATATCATTGCCACACATGAGACGGTGCTCCTGCTATTTATCTAGAACTTTTATAAGTCCTGTTTACTAACCAGTGAAATCGGTTTCACACTGACGCCATATAGATATCGCTAAATACATTCCCTATGATTATTATAATTTTAAATACTATAAGAGGTTGAAGCTTTTATTATAATAAACAAGGATTTTCCAATAATATGCCGTATGTGTATAATAAAATTACGAATATAATATTAAACAGAAACTACTCAAAAAGCATTAGCCTACACTATTTATATTGTGTTGCCATATTTATCATAACGTTTCGGCCGTTGTACGCTCCGGCCTTATTCATGTGGTTGGAATATCGAACTGAACCCTTGTTGCAGTTTTTTGTGTATGTTATGTACTAGTGAGTGTGCCCAGATGACTTGACTCAATTTATAGCCCACCAATAGAAGGTTAACCAATCAGAAGACGTAGAATATTCAATCCGTCGTGTATAAAGGCGGCCATTTTGTCTACTCTCCCCGAATGTCCAGTCCCAGCATGTCAGGTGAAGAGAAACAGAAGGACAAACTACGCTCTGCTACTTTTATCAAAATATCCACTGCTAACCTGAACAGCGCTTTCCTACTGTCTTCGAAATATTCACTGCTAACCTCTGGATTCTATACTCAAAGACGACCGTCATCATGAACAACAACCCTTTATTTCGCTCGTCTGTTTTAGTTCCACGTGCCATGTCTAATGGATGTCTCCAAGTTCTTCACTGCCTTAACCAGGTATTGAACACAACTCTTTGGGTCCTGCCAGTGGGTCCATCCAACGCCTTTATCCTCTGTGCTATGTGTCCTTAAGGAGATAACTGATAACTGACATCCATTAGACATGGCACGTGGAACTAGAACAGTCTATCCCAGCGAGCGCAATAAGGGGTTGAGTTCGACATTCCAACCACCTGAAGAAGGCTGGAGCGTACTGAAGCATTGGCCTATTTATCACTGTTTCTCGCGGAAACCCTAGTGCACATGGGAAGAACGGTTGAGAAACATAGTTTGAATGAACGAATTTCTTGTGATTCAACTCAGCGATTGACCAATTCTAGGACACAAATCACTTTCTTAAAATACGTAAGATATATATATATATATATATATATATATTTAATGGTTACATCAGCCGAATTCTACCTTCTATTCCCGAACTCCAACACAATATCGTCTCCGGAGTTGAACTACTCATTCATTAAACTTAAACTTATGTCTGACTCAGTTATATACGCTCCTATTTACCCGCATACGGGAAGAAATCTTTACCGGCTTTCATTTCATTGCATTACGTGCAAAATATTAAGCGCATGCGCGATCCTACATAGTCCCGTATGCAAAATCATTTATTCTCATTCATGTAAGTGCTCATGGATACATATTTATATGAAGCTATATTGATTCTTACTTTACTCAATCATGCATAATCATGCCTGCGCATGAAAAGTTTATCCCAATTCTCCAAAGAGTACTCAAATGCACGACTGGAAGCTGTAATCTATTTGAATGTCTTGTGCTGACGTGTCACTCCCAGGTGGATGTGTTCAGTAAAGAGAATAGCCTTAAACTGATTAGAAGGTCGTAATTTTTTAGTTTAGAGTCGATGTTAAACTCAAGGTTTGTCTTTTATTTCGATTTGCCACATTAGTGATAACAGACACTGCGCCAATTTAAAGTCCCGTCGACAATGAAAAACAGACTTGTAGTAAAAAGTTACAAAGGCAATAAGATTCGCTTCATAAACTTGAGGCAAAATCAAATTCAGCTTGATTTTCTTACGTTTTTCTTGAACGTACTCCGGTGTATAGAATAGTTCTAGAAAATTCAGTATAGGAGATAAGGAAATTAAACATAGAATAGACTGCACTATGAGTAGTTTTGTCAAAATTGCTACAAAACCAAAGCATTAGCCTAAGAAATCGAGTAAGGCATAAAGCCACTAAGACGTAAGGGGTTATTGATTGTTAGAGAACATTAGAAAAAACACTATTAATGCGAGAGAACAATTAAAGAACAGGAATTAAGATAATGATTGACATTGATCTAAATTTATGAAGATCAAAGTTGTCTAGGAAGCAAGAAGCCGGAAGAGAATATCATAAACCAGATGTGATAGAAGAAACTGTTAGCATATAACATACGGTTATATCTAGCCATTTCAACTGTAAAATGATGAGACCTTGCAGCCAACCTAGTACCGCTCTTAAATTCCTAAAGTCTAAGTACCATAGAGGCATGTTCCTCAGAACAATTACCATGAAATTATTTATAGAAAAGGTAGAGGAAAGCTATGTTATGGCGGTAGGAAAGGGGCTGAAGCCAAGATGCCGGATGTCATGTATGGCGCCAAACTCGTTCAGATACATCTTAACTCTCAATCGCCTTTTCAGATCAATGATTTAAAATATCTTCGAGAGAAGGAAGCCTTTAGTCATAGTGAAGCTATATTTCTTCAAAACTTGTGAACTGGCGCTACAGAATCGCAAACAAAGAACTGTACCAAACAACAAAAATAACATCACTTGGAGAGTTTCAACAGCAGCAACAACTAAAATGGATAGAACATGTCACTCGAAGAAAAAAATAATCAAGATGTTGACGTTCTATCTTACTTCAAACAAAAGGTTAGGAAGGAAACCTCCACCAATACTGAATAGAGAAATAGAAGCTATTTTCTTGAAGAATTGATTTATAGAATGATTCTATAAATTTTAGCACCGGCTGTTCGGTCGATGAATGCCGAATGTTTCCATATAAGGAAATGGCTAATGTTGCCATTATCATTACTGCCATTCTTCTGGTTCAGTACTTCCGCTTTCATTTATTTCCCTTGCACTTTGAATCTGGTCTATATTCGAGGTAGTATCAAAATGCACACCGACTAGGCCTAAAAAACAACATTATATTTTATACAAATTACGCCAGATTTCATTATGTAAATCAATATTTGCAATTGGTATGAAATAACTTGAAATGATATATTTATATGAGCAATATGATAGGTTTCCTATTCTAATATGTATCCTAATTAACACATTGATAATAAATTGTCTTCTCGGTATTAGGTTTTATTATTCAAGCAACTATTTATGAATAGACCTTAAAGATATAGGCCATACTATAAACATACAACATTCTATAACCTTCTTCTTCTCTTCTTCTTCTTCTTCTTCTTCTTCTTCTTATTATTATTATTTTATTTCCTTTGATTTCTGCTCTGTACACATTTGTTTCCGGGTTTCTAAGGTCAAAGATGGCGTCATGACATATTCCACTGACCAATTAAAACACACACACACACACACACACACACACACACACACGCACACAAAAATTTTACATAGATAAAGCCTTCGTAAAGTGTGGGCTGTACTTCTGAGAAATTTTTTTTTGTATTTCTTTAAGGCAAGGGATTCCAGGAATCCCTTCAATGGGGCTACTGAAATCTTTTATAACCAATCCGTGGGACCAACTACAGCAGGGATTGTTGACGTTCCATATGCCACATTTTTGAGATTTCGATTTCAAGGTCCTTGTATTTTGATAGATTTTTGAAGATCTTAAAAGATACATTGCAATCTGCCAGGGACTGCCATATCAATAAGGAGACATTTTTTTTTGTTTGCGGTCTCTAATAACAATGTCTGGGCGATGAGTTTTGATTGTTCTGTGTGTATTGTGTAGTCCCATAAAACTGTTACAGGTTCTATCTCTGTAACCGGGTCTGGGTGGTATTCATACCAATTTCTTTCAGTTTTCTTCCCGTAGAAGTTGCAGATTCTCCAGTACAGATATTGCCCCACTCTGTCATACCGGATTTTATATTCAGTGGGTGGCAATACCGTGCAACCTGATACAAGATGATCAATTGTTTCTGGATATTTTGGGCTAACACAATATTTTAGTATGTGTGCTTGGTAATTTCTAGTTAACAAGCATTGGTCTTGTTTAGCAAGGATAAACCTTCGGTCTCAGCTTTTAGCCCTGCACTAGGTAGCCACTGATAGGTACGGGGTTTGTCTATTATCATTATTATTATTATTGTTTTTGTAGTTATTATTATTATTATTAATCTAAATCTTCTTTTTACTTCTTCATCTTCTTCTCATCCTTATTCTTCTGCACACACACACACACACACACACACACACACACACACACACACACACACACACACACACACACACACACATATATATATATATATAATAGAAAACTCTATTTTTTGGTATATATATGTGTGTGTTACCAATATACAGCTTAAACGATACATAATACCCCCCAAAATTTAGGAAAA